TGAGATTCGTTCAGTTTAACTTGTGGACTTTCATAAGAAATAAATGTAATAACAACCCCTCTATATTCATTGGCAGGATGCCTTGTACATAGAGGTTCAACCTTCTCTGGAACTAAGTCGAGAGTCAGTTATTATAAACATTTTAATTTTTAATTATGTGTACGTGTATAGGTGGCTATGTGCTCATGAGCATAGGTGACTGTGAAGTCCAGAAAAGAGGACTGGAGTGACTCAGCCATCCAATGTGGGTTCTGGAAAATAGACCCAAGTCCCCTGTAAAAGTACTACATGGTCCTAACCACTGAGCCATCTCTCCGGCACCTCAATTCAACCCAGTTATATAATTTCAATCAACCCAGTTTGTACTGTGAATGTAGAAGAGGAGAGAGAAACATCGAGATTGGCGTATAAAAGAAGCCAATGGACAAACTGGAAGCCCCTCCCCTTCAGCAAGGATATGGGTAAGGGGGCGGAGCACGAGTGAGGGAAGCTATACATACGTAGGCAAGTGTAAGTGGTATGCAAATGACTCATAGAGGCTCATAGCTTTCCTGGCCCAGTGCCATTTGAGCATCAAAACGTGCCCAAATCTCTGGCCACTTTCCATGCCCAGGAGTGTTCTCATTTTCATGTAATTGTCCCCATTTCTACCACCATCCCTGTCTCCCTGGTCCAACTCTTTATTCTGCATCGCTGCTCTCAATTTTTTTCTGTTCATTCACTTCCCTGTTCAGCTTACACAGCCATCATTGAGAAAAGTCAGGGCAGGAACCCAAGCGGGAACTGAAGCAGAAACCAAGAAGGAAGACTGCTTGCTTACGCAGCTCAGCTCAACCCCCTACAGTTGATGAAGGGCAGGGGTGCTGTCCCTGTCCACCTGTTTGTCCATCTGGACTTGCACCTGCTGTTTTTGCTCTGGATCTAGTTCTGTCCTTTCACCTCTGCAGCTGGCTACATCTCTCGAAACCCTGACCTTTTCCAGGCTGGATCTATTATAGCAGTTGCCTCTTCTCCTGTGGCCGCTTTGGTTTTGTTACCGAATACAGACTTTGCATTTCCATCAGCCCGCTTCTGAAACGAAGTCTGCTATAGGTGCTAACTTGTATTTATTTTGTAAGCCCATAAATGGATACGTAGAGAGACAGATGTGCTGTGTGTGGTGAGAGTCAGAATGAGTAACTGAGGTTGTTATAAGAAACCCGGATGTGCCTCAGTCGCGTTATCAAGGTAGGCAGGATTATTGGGCAAATTGTTGCAATCGAAACAACTTCACCTCGTGAATTTATTGTATTTACTGTTATTTAATGAATTCTGACATTATGAAAAGACACAAGCACGTTCATATGTTCCTGGCATAGCACATTCATGACATCCGTATTTCCCAGGGCTATGTGTAAGGAGAGCTCATGGGGGAGAAAGGTCCATCATCTACAAATATAAGACAATGGAGGTGTTATGCTGAAATGACTTATAAAGATTCATCGACTCTCATAATCAGTATATTTGTGCTTCTAACTTTTCCCAGATCCTTAGGCCTCTTCTGTTCTTAGGAACACAATTCTGTTTTTTTTAAATTATTTCTACCTTTATTTTATCATTATTATTAGTGTGTGGGAGGTGTGTGTTTATGTGGTTATGTGACTTTATATATGTAGAGGACAAATTGGGTGTCTTTCTCAATTATTCTCTACCTTTTAAAATGGTTACATTTTTATTTATTTATTATTATGTTTGTGTATACATGCATATACATGTAGGCACATATACCATGGCATGTATGTAGAGGTCAAAAGGCAACTTTGTGAAGTTTATTTTTCTTCCCTCTCTACGTGGATTCCGGGGGTTGAACTCATAATTCCCAGGGCTGTGCAGCAAGCCCCTATACCCACTGAGCCTTCTCCCTGGCCCTTCACCTTAGCTTTAAGATAAGGTCTCTCACTGAAGCTGGACCTTCTGAATTCAGTTAGTCTATCTGGCTAATGAGTTCCAGGATCTGCCTATCTTACCACTACACTCTCCCCCAGAACCCGGCACTAGATTAGGGATGCGCATTCCTGCTCCTGGCTTTTTATGTATGAGCTGGGATTTCTCATGTTTATCCTCCAGGGCGGGTCAGCAGTTCTGTCTGTTGGTCCTTGATGCACACATGCGGCAGGTATGTTACTGGCTGAGTTATAACCCCAGATATTTCTCTTTCCTAATGCACTGTTCCTATTTCTACCACTACCCATGTGTCCTCCCTGATCCAGTTCTTTTAATAAACGCACAAGAACCTGGAAATCCCCATAGGTGTCTCCAAACTGTAACCCAAGCCCATAATATTAATAGTTTCTCTTTTGTACAATTCAATGCGAAGCCACACCCAAATATATTGCTCTAACATAGTATTTATCCTTGTGACAAACTGAGAAATTCAACACCCTGGAAAGTATGACTAAAAGGTCTTACTACAATCATAATTGTCACCGGGTGGATGAGGGACTTAGAAACAGGGACAGCTACTATAGCAACCTCAGAGTGGTCCAAAGCTACATTTGGCTTTCAGTTTCACTCATAATTCAAAGAAACCATAAAAGATTCAAGTGAAATCTGAATGGTTGATTAGAAACACGTGAGGCAGGGGGCTCAGGCACGTGCTTTGAATTTCTACCTCCATGTGTGCCAAAAACTAATAATCATCATCTGTCCTGTGATTTTCCAGGAAACAGAATCACCTCAGCCAGCCCTCAGAAAGACAGAGATGGGGTCAGGAAAGCACTGGACCAGTCCAGTTGGGAAAGGATGAGCGTGTGACTTCCACATAGAATGGCCATGGCTCAGGCCTGGCTCTCTTTTGCCTCCATCTCTCAATGTGGCCTTTCTTGTCTCTGCCTGCAGCCTACTTACAGACCCCTGATAACTGTTGCTTTCCCCGAACACATCTTTTCCAAAGCACAGATTTCAGCATGGAGCAGACACAGGCTTTGGATCCAGGAAGCCACAAAGTTGAGTCCAAAATGCCATTTAGTGTGAGGAATTCACAGAGTGTCTTTGAGCCTTGGTTTTCTTTATCTACAAAGCAAGGATGTCAAGGCCTCCTTTGAAGAGGGGTTGTTGGCTGAATGGGTCAGTTTTGTGAAATGCATACCTGTCAAGGATGCCAAAAGAAGTGGGCAGTAGCTCTCCTGTCTTCCTTGTGAGTGAGGAGATTCTCACTATTGGTACATTGGAGCCCAAATGGTCACTAAACACAGAACCCTAAGTCAGCAGTGACCAGGAGATAGGCAGTACACAATGGGCCTGGTACCTGAGTACCCAAGATTAAATTAGGTTGCAGTATAAAGGTCTTAATGTCATCCAAGCTTTCTTAGATTAGGAGTCAATTCGATGACAACCAATCCTCCTATTAATGTGTCATAAAGAGAAGGGGAATAGAATAGTCAGATCAAACCTCATCGTCCAGAAGAACTTTTTATAGGAAGACACTAGAGGATGAGACATTTTATACATAAGAAGTAGGTGAGGGGACTAGAGATACAGCTTAGCAGTTAAGAGCACTGTTATTCTCCCAACAGGGCCTGGGTTTGATTCTTACCCACATGGAAGTTTATAACTATTCATAACTTCAGTCCCAAGAGATCTGACAACCTCTTCTGGCCTCTGTGGGCATCAGACTTATCTATGGTACAAAACACACATACAGGCAAAGCACCCACACACACATTTTTTAAAAGTAGATGAATAAATATTCCGAGGCCAGGATAAGCTTGCAAAACTGATTAAGTATGCTACAGAGTAGACAAAGAGGAGACATACTGAGAAACTGGGCTGGCACAGTACCTAGGCTACTTTGTCAAGATCTCACCAGGCTATGGCAAAAGTTTTAGTCTTAATATTGAAATTAAATCTTCCCATCTCTACATAATCCCGCCCCCTTGTGTTAAATAGTTGCATGGTTCTCGCACACTAGACTGTTCGTCTTATGCTTTGCTAGTCCACAGTTGGTAGATTCCTTTTTAGGTTGTTCTCATTTGTTTATTATTTTGACTTTGAAGTGTCGCTGTAGGAGAAATTGCTAAATCCAGATTTGTTGGATCAAAGACTATGCGCTTTTAAAATCTGAGTGTTATTTTCAATTCCCCCGTTAAAAAATGTTATGAGCTTGTACTCCAACCCCAGCATGATTGCACGAGTCTCCACAGACCCTTTACAACATTTCGTTATCATGCTTTTAAAACTTGGCTGATCTGATAGCAAGCACTGTTCACCTCCTTACTTACCCTGCCTTGTGTTTCTTTAACTGTGTGAAGACAGAGTGCTCACAAGATTATCAGCCATGCTCACTCCCCAACCTCCACTCTGAGAATAACTTTGAATTGCCTTTGCTAATTCCTCTGTACCCTTGGATTCTTTTCCTCTGTGTATTAAGAAAATGAACATATGGACCACTATTTAGTTCATAGTCTATGAGTTTGAGCTCATAGAAGTCCCTTCCACGTCAAAATTTTTATTACGTGTGTCTGTCTATCTGTCTGTCTGTCCGTGTATGTGTGTGGGAGAGGAGCACTCATCCAACTATCTGCATATGAAAATCAGAAGACACCTCTGAGAAGTCGTTCTTCTCAGATGATAGGAGTTCCAGGGACTGAACGCAGGTTGTCAGACGTGGCAACCATCTCACTGGGATCCACTCAATATTTTTTTTAATGTTCACTTATGTTTCTATTCATCGTTTTATGAATTAAGTCACTTAATGTCTATAATGTCTCTTTTTTCAACATATCAAGAATTTCTTTTTCTGTATTGTATGCAAGGCATGTTTTAATTTATGATTATATTTTTTTTCTTTTGAGAGATTTTTTATTCCCATTAAAATTTGTTACCATGATATATATGTTGCTACAATTCTCTTGTATGTTTATCACTTCCCTTCTTTTCTCATCTGCAGTTTATAATCTGTTTTTATCTTCTTTCATGTCTGCTTGTTTGTTTGTTTGCTTGTTTGTTTGTTCTTCACTGAGATCTCTTAGGTGAAAGGCAAAGAGGCACAAGTGTCTGGCGTGGCTGAGTATTTGTGTATGATGCCACCACAAATTTCTCGGTGGACTCTGATGTGCTCCATTCACCCCGATGGACAAACACAGTGACGACTCCTACTCAGAGCACACAAACTCAGAACTTCCTTTCACTGCACCTCCCACAATGCCCCATTTTGCTACGCTTCCCACAATGCCCATGGTGTGAAGCAGGAACACGGATGATCAATCACCTTGTCCATTGTTGGCATGGGTGCCATTTCCTCAGTGATGCTTTGCCTCCTTTTGGAGGCTTCTAGTAATATATAGGTTTATTCTCAGTCTGTTCCTCTAGTTAGACACAAAGTATTACCGTGCTGATGAAGATTTTTCAGTGATTTGGGATACCATAAGGTCTAAATTCTCTAGAAATAAATTTTCTTTTATTCTATTGGTTTTGGAAAATAACGTTGAAACGGAAGTAAGTTTTCTCTAGAATTTTTCCATCTAAGGAACGTGAACAGGAGAGAGTGGATTGATTAATTAAGATTTTGACTGAAGGCCTAAAGAGGAGAAAGATGGAGCCAGAAAAGCACTAGGAAGCCTGTGTGGCATCCAGGGTATGGCAGAAATGAGCAAACCTCATAACAGTAAGCTTGGAGATGAGTAAAAGCCAGACAGCCAAGCAGACTTTGAAAAGATGACATTGAAAGAAAAAAGAAAGCAGTAACTTGACAAATGGCCACTCATTAACTGAATTTGGTTTGCTTGTTTATTTGTTTGTTTGTTGTAGCAAAAGAGGAAAGGAGCCGACTTTTTCATTATGTTGAAGTTCCTGGGCCATTCAATAAATGTACAGTTTAGCTAAATTAGCAGCGGTCACAAAGCCAGTGGCAAAGGGACAACTGTGAAGACCATTTTAGAATTCCTTTGCATGTTATTTTTTCAAATGCTTTTCATTAGGACGTATTCATTATACATAACCATGGGCTTTATTATGGCATTATCGTACACATATATAATGTATCTTGTTTAATAGAAAACCCCATGCTACATTGTCTATTTGTCTGCAACTAAGTTGGAGAGGGATGAATGTACAAACTTCTTGGGCTGGCCTGGCTCATGCTTCTCCTGCATCTGGAATGTTGGGATAAGACACATGTGCCCGAACACTAGATTCGAATTAGTCTTCTTTTTGTGTTGCCCATAAGCTCTTAGTGTGATTCTGTGTTCAGTGCTCGCCCACTACAGGTGTACAGTGAATATTTATTCTATCAAGATGCTCCTTTCCAAGCTAAAGTCACACACAAATAAGCAATTTGCCTATTTAATAATTATACTAAAAGACCAAGACCAGGATAACTAATTAGAACTCAGTGATGTTGGTTGTACTGGAGATCAGAAGGAAAGAATAAGTCCTTACATGGGCTCTGTAGTGAGTGCAGCCTAAACACTCTTCCTGCTGCAAATGGTACAATTCATTGTTCAGTAGATACGTTTTTAGGGGCATAAAAACTTTCCAACAGGGAAATTAAGAGTGAGGAAAGGAAGAGTTAATACCATTATTTATTGCACACCACACATGATCTGAGGACTTAAGTCTTCCGATAATCTTATGTATTGAGGAAATTAACCAAAGTCACATGCAGGGAATTATCAGCAGATCCAGGGAATAATCAAGTCTGTTTGTTATTCAACCTGTGAACATAGTCATAACACGAGAGGCTGGGGTACTTCCATCTAGTAACAAAGGAAAAGCTGAAATATCAATGGTAAAACATTTCCTTTAAGAACTTAGGGTACCAGACCCCGCCAGTTTGGTCTCTGACCTTTCCTCTCTATTCCTGATTAAAAAGAGCAACATTTAGACAGGCATGTGGCCTCCCAGGAAAAGACAGTATTTCCTGGCTTTCTTGGCAGATATCTATAAGCATGACTAACTTTTAACTAATTGGATATAAATGTAAGTGGAATATATAATTTCTGGAATTTATTATCCTTTTTTCTGTGGTTTGACTTTTGAGATATAGTACATGTAGACCAGGCTAGCCTCAAACTCACTACATGGCTGAGTCTGGCTTTGAACTGTCATTCCTTCTTCCACTAGCTCCCAGGTGCTGAGATCACAGGCAGGCACCATTATGCCTGACTCTCTGGAAATTATTCTTCAAGGGATCTTGAACCTGCTGTGTACCTGAGAGTGATGATTTTGAACTTCCAATCCTCCTACCTCCACCTCCCAAGTGCTTGGATTAGAGCCATGAGCTACCATTCTTATTGGCAAGAATGTACATGTTACTGCTTTTTGTATCAGACATTTTGCTATAAAAAAGCTATCTTACTTCCCTTAGTGTTACTGGAACAGCACAGCCCTAGATGGCCATGTGAGGGTATAGCTCAGCTGGCAGAGTGCTTGCTTAGCATGCAGAAAGCTGCTGCACCATATAGGCATGGCTGCACATTCCTATAAATCCCTATTGCGGTATTGGCAGGAGGAAGAGAAATTTGAGGTCATCCTTGGCTACACAGTGAGTTTGAGTCTGGGCTAGGCTCCATAAGAACCTGTTTGAGAAAAAAAAATCAGGGAAAGAATTTTATTTCAAAGTTCTGGAGGCTGGGGAGTCTCATTTCAAGGAGCTAATATCTGGTGAGAGTTTTCCTACTGTGTCATAGCCTGACACAGACAGCATACAACACGTCTGCTAGAATTGGTAATTTTAGGTCCTTTTTTTTTCCCATAAAGTCACTGATCTGATCATGAGGCACCATCCTCATAACCTTACTTAACTTACTTAGACATCAAATCTGATTAAAACTTGCCTCCAAATACCAAATTAAGTTTCCAGTCCACGGATTTTGGGAAGAAAGAGCAAAAGCCATACATGGCAATGCAATAAGGAAGACAGTATCCAGGTCGCTTATGCCACGCAGCACTGTCAACCATGGATGGGCATCACTAGTGTGGGGACAGCATGCTTACTACTGCTGTTTGCTTATCATTTCCTACGTGTTTTCATTCTCAACAACGTGGGAGTCTTAGTGGCATCACATCACATTTGTATGATGCTTTTGTTGTTGAGTGTGAGTTTTCTAAATTAACAGACTGATACTGGAGACATTAAATGCTAAAGACAACAATCATGAGGATGGGGAGATGGCTTAGCAGGAAAGTACCTGGCTCTCAAGCATGAGGACCTGCATTTAGAATCCCCAGCACCCAAGTCAAAGTCAGGCATCCTGCCAGAGCTGAGGGACAGAGACAGGTACATGAGCTCAATGGTCATCTACTCCATCTCAGTTAGTGAGCAGTTAGTGAGCTCTGGGTTCAGTGAAAGCTTTTGTTTCAAAAATAAGGTGAAGAGACATCAAAGACAAGAGATGTCTTTTGGCACACACACACACACACACACACAAAAGATTGGCAGATGCTGGGGACATGTCTGTAATCCCAATACTTAAGAATTGAAGCAAGAGAATCAGAAGGTCAAGTTCAAAATTCACCTTGGCTACATAGAAAGTGCAAGACTAGAATACAGAAGATCCTATCTCAAATAAAAGGAAATCAGTTTTAAAAAGACAAGCTAGAGCTGATGTCATGTCTCACATCTGTAATCTCAGTCCTTCCAGGGCGGAAGCTGGAGGACAGCTGCACAACACTGGGAAACCTTGTTTCAGAAAATGAAAACAAACAATAGAATAAAATACAATCTGTCTTAAAGGAAGGTTTAACTTAGAAAAGGAAAAGAAACACAGCAACAAGATTGCAAGAAAGAGAACAACTGCTGTATGAGTTGGTTTATGGTGTGTGTGTGTGTGTGTGTGTGTGTGTGTGTGTGTGTGTGTGTGTGTATGTGTGTTGGAATTATTTATTCTAGCTAGCCTGTATAAAATACACAGAAATCTGGTATTTTATTTACAAGATGTAAGCCTAGATTGGGCAATTTCTATACTAGCCTCACTTATATATCTAAACTATATGTCCCTTGTTACTTGCTGTTTGATTTGAGTCTTGCCCAGGCTACCTCTGCTTCATCGGAGTCCTCAGGGTGTATTTCTCCTGGCTCATGCATGATCCATCCAGCCTCATGGCAGCCTCTTTCTCCTCCTCCCCTTCCTCCTCCTCCTCCTCTTCCTCCTCCTCCTTCCCCTCCTCCTCCTCCTCCTCCTTCCCCTCCTCCTCCTCCTCTTCCTCCTCCTCCTCCTTCCCCTCCTCCTCCTCTTTCCCCTCCTCCTCCTCCTCCTTCTTCATCCTCTCCCCGATGATCTCTCGCTCTTCCTTCAAGTCCTGCCTTCCTCTCTCTACATCCCAAACACAGGCCCTAGCCTTTTATCAACCAATCAACTTTAAATCAGGGAGCAAGGTTTACACAACAAAGGCCAGTTGTATGTGAAAATGTACTCCTCTGGATAGCAGCCAGATCTTGGGGTTCATAATTTAGCATTGTATAAATAGTAACAGATTACCCCCCTAATGTGTATGTGTGTGTGTGTGTGTGTGTTGTACACGTCTGTGTGATGGTGCACACACTCATACATGGAGGTCAGAAGTTGATGCAAGGTGTCTTTCTCTATCATTCTCCACCTTAGTTTACTTTGTAATTCTTTAACAGTTTCTTTTTTTTCTTTGACAGTTTCTTACCAGTATATTTCATATGTGAAATACAATATTTCGTAATTGTGTATGTTGGATTTAGGGTATTTCACCCCCATTATCTTTTCACATCTCCCCATCCCCATGAAAATTCTTCTCTGCATTCTCCCTCCTGCTTTAATGACTTTTTTTTCCCATTCTTGACCCACTGAGTTCAACCAAGGTCGTCTTCTTGAGCGTGATGTGGGGGAGATAACCACAGGAACCATGCTATACCACTGAGGAGAATGGCAGTCCCTCTCCAGTAGCCACCAACTGCCCACAGATCCTTAGTGAGTGCTGGGGCCTCATGAGACCCTTCCCTCCGCAAGGCAAAATCTCAGTGGGGCCAATCTTGTATAGATCTCATGCAGGTAGCCACAGCTGCAGGCATGCAGTGAGCTTCATGACTGCAATGGCTGTGCCATGTGCAGAGACATTGTTTTATAATTCCCCTCTCCAACCTCTTGCTGTATATTCTTTCTGCCCACCCCTCCCCCATTCTACTGTGTTCTCAGAGTTTTGTGAATGAGGCATACCTTTTTTTTTTTGATAGAGTCTTTTACTGAACCTGGATCTTGCATTTTTAACTAGTCTCTGTGGCTAGTGGTCCCCTGAATTCACATGTCCCTCCACCTCCCACTGTAGTTGATAGAGGTACATTACTGTGCCTGCTTTTTCCAAGGGTGCTAGGGATCAGAACTTGGGTTCTTATGCTTGCATAGGACTTTATCTCCTGAGCCAATTCCCTGAGTCCAAACCTTTTGTCTGCCAGATGGTGGTAGTGAGTGTACACCTTTAACCCCAGAACTTGGAAGTCAGAGGCAGGTGGATC